GGTGGCATCTAGACTTGAAGAAGACGAGGAGTGCTTCTTAAGTGCTAGGATTTAGCTTTGTAACCGATCTACTTCAAAGCTAGTGGAACAGTGGACTAGAGGAACGCGTTGTTCCTTGAACCACTATAAAAATATCCGGTGTCATTTACTTTACTGCAATTTACATTTCTGCACTTAGGATATTAACTGTTAACTCTAAGACTTGGAATCTGTGTTCAGCAGATCTTGTTTTCAGAGTTATCAGAAAGGCATTTGCCTTAGTGTTTCTGAGGCTACCCGGACAGATCAGAATCCGCTGCCAAGGCCAGTTCTGATATCAGAACCAGCCTTTCTCTGTCACCAGAATCAGACATTCTCTGATAAGTCATTTTGGACTTAGAGAAAATTTGAAGAACCAATCAGTCTATTCACCCCCCCCCCCCCCTCTAGACTGATTACCATATTAAACGGGACCAACATGATGCATTCACAGATACAAAGAAAGTGACAAAGTCACATATTCCTGCTATGAATGCCCCTGCCAGAATTGAAATTCCAGCAGAGAATTCTGAAAAATCTCTTGCAAATGATTCTTCTATACGCAAAAAGCGTGACAGGCTACTTGGATCAAAAGACATAAAACCAAGAAAAACTAAAAAGCAGGAATTGATCTGTGATGCCAAAGATGTTCATCCTTCTGAACAAGAAAATGAACAATTTGAAAATACTGGCATAGAAAATGATATTGACAAAACAAACATCTCAAATAATGATCCAACTTTCTTAAATGAGGAAGATATTCCAGATAATGAGTTGTTCTGAAATAATACGGAGCAATGAAGATGAAAGCTGAAGGAGTATAAAAATAAAATAGGTTGTAGACAACTTACAAGTAAATTCAAATAAGAAATTGAAGCAGATTCATACAAGGATAAAAGACCAGAATCGTGATCTGTGGCTTACAACGTCTTATTTTCTTTGCTTAATTAAGTTTTCTGAAGCAAAAAGTTTTGAATATTATTTTAGTACGTAACTACGTAATAGTATTCATTAATACGAAGTATATGTAACATGAACTCTAAATAAAGTAATTCAATTTCTTGATACGTTTTTATATAACTTTACTATATACATTCCGTGTAATGCTATACTACTTAAATACTGATAGCCGTTATATTTACTTGTGTTTAACATAAGTATTTATAAGTATTTGTTGAAGAAAAGAAGAGAAATCGGGAAAATACCTCCAGAATGAGAGCTAGAGCATAAAACATTGCGATGCATGGCTTTTTGGACCAAGAGAATGACGTTATGTCCATAATTTGAGTATACCGTATTGTAGAGAACTCGAAATCACTCGATTCGAGTTTCATGTGAATGCTAACTCAATAAGGTACAAATGTTATGAAGACGTCATGGCCAAAATATGAAGGGAACAAGACTCAATCAACCAACAAAGTCAGATGTTGCTGGTGGGATTTCAGGATGCATACCTCTCAGTGTTTTATCCATATCGTTTGATTGGCTGAATAAAATCACGTCATTCAAGTTTTTCTGGATAGAAGACTTCATTAGCTACAACTTTGATGAAGGACTCATGTCCAAATTCATAGTGGAACATCCCCAAAATCCCAGGACAAAACCGGCGCCGGAATTTCACCAAACCGGCGCCGGTTGCATTTAATCCGTTATTCTCCCGGTCGGCCGAAGTATAACCGGCGCCGGTTTTACCCTATAACCGGCGCCGGTTATGGTGTTTTTCACTATTATTCCATCCCCGAAGTAAAACCGGCGCCGGTCAAGCCTAAAACCGGCGCCGGTTAAGCCCGAATCTGCATAAAACACAAAGACGTGCAACCATATTTTGATGGGAAAACTCCACTTTCCTTATGATCTGATCAAATATATCTTCCATGCCTGATTGTTGGGCTTGAATAGACTAAAAGATGCCAATCTTTAGCCTATATAAAGCCCCCAATTCATCAAACAAGATAATCATTCCATTCTTGAAGATTAAATTTCAGTTTTTATATTTCCTTTTTGCATTTTCTTGAAGTGTTGGAGAAGAAGCCATTTCTCTCCTCTACAATTGGTTCTAGGTATTATCTCTTGTATGTTATTGTATTTCATTGTTCTTAGTTACACTTTTGTAATTAATATGAGCTTAAGGAGCTAAGTTCTTAGCTAAGGCTAGGGATGAACTTCTATGCCCACTAGGTGTTTGATAAAAGTTCTAAACCAATAAATTGTGATTTATCATTTACATTTTGATTGTTTATGACTATGGTGTACAACATAGAAGTATGTTAAACTTAGTTTATGCTTGCAATTAACGTTGAGGTCTAAACTATGAACATTAAAGGATAAACATATATATTACCGAGAATAGAAATATATCCGGTATTATATGATACGGGTGTGATGTCTTGATATTCAATGGGGTTTTCGGTAGATGAATGTAAGCCGTAACGGGACTTACACGTAACGAAAACCACGCTCTCGCTGCCTTAACCGGAGTTGAGAATATATTAGCGACATCGTATTCATAACTGTTGGTAAAGAACTAATATTCAACCCTATTAAAGCATTTAAGTGATTCCCGAAGCCTTAGTTGTTGTTATCAATCACTTTAATCAAATTAATTTAAGTTATATCTCTGAAAATTAAAAAGAAGAACCAAGTTGTTGTTTTCACAACAACACACAACTCAAAATCCCTGTACTTTACTCATTTATTTATTTAAAGTCGTCTACTTTCGGACTTGAATTAAACAACGTTTCCCTGTGGACTCGACCCGGTATTTTACCGGAATTTATTACTATATCGGCACTTGTACACTTGCAAGTTCAGCCCGGTCAAGTTTTTGGCGCCGTTGCCGGGGAAACGGTCTTGTTTAATAAAGTCCAAACAATCAACCAATCAAAAATCCTGAATTTATTTTTCACAACTTCACTTGATCTTGGAAGGATTTTTGTTTTTGCTTGTGTAGATATTCCCTTGTGTTTGCATGCAATTGAGAGGTCAAGGTTCTAAAATTCTTGAACCACTTGATCTTGAAATAGAAAAAACTTGCAAACACATTCGAAGGGAGCAAAAAGCTAAAAAGATGTTGCCAACTTTGAATGAGAGGAAGAGACCCGTGGTGGCCGCTACACCATCTTGCATCAACTTGAGCGAGGAAGCAAGAGACTATGAGCTAAGGCAAAGCTACTTCAACGCTATGCCTCAGTTTCATGGTTTGCTTGGGGAAAATCCACTCAACTTCATCACGGAGTTCTACGGATTCATTCAAGGAATCCCTAGAAATGGCTTGGCGGAGGATCAACTCAAACTCAAATGCTTCCCCTACACTCTCAAAGGGGCGGCAAGAGGATGGTTCCTAGAGCAAGCTCCGGCAAGCTACACAACATGGGAAGGTATATACAATGCCTTCATGTCTAAATACTACACACCCACCATGACTCAAGAGCTTAGACAACGCATTTTCAATTTCAAACAACAAAATGGTGAGCTCTTTCAAAACGCATGGCGGCGTTTCAAATCATTGTTAAGGGAATGCCCGCACCACCGCATTCCCCTTGATCTTCAACTTGATACATTCTACAATGGTTTGAATTCACCTTGTCAAGCCATTGTAGACAACCGAGCCGAGGGCTACATTGGAAATAAAAATGAAACTGAGGCGCTCCGAATCATTGAATCTATTGCCTCAAATCCTCAACTTCAAGGAGGCGATTACAAGGTGGTCGGGATGAATGAAATCTCTATCACAACCGAGATTAATAAAAGGCTTGAACAAATGGAATCAAAAGTTGAGCAAAAATTCCAAACGGCCCTTCAAGCCGTATTGGGAGGAGTCAAGCAAATAGCTAATGTGGAGAGCATTCAAAGTCCGGAAGGCAATTTATCTCAACATCTTGAAGAGGTAAATTTTATGAACTCTTATGGGAACCGGGGAAACAATAATCCTTCTAATCAACAAAGGTGGAACCAAGGGAGCAATTGGAAGCCACAACCCCAATCCGGAGCACCTAATTTTGGGCCGTCCAAGGAAACCACCATGGAAGATATGATGCAATTCATATCCAAGAGCATGGAAAGCATGAAGGCTCAAAATGAAGAGAACCATAGTAGAGTGGAGGCATCCATTGGGAATCTCCACTCTCAATTCAACAAGTTGGATCTTCGCTTTGAAGATCAAAATATAAAGCTCAACCAACGCATCGACACCATTGAGCAATATACCAAGGCGTCCATCCGAAATCTTGAAGTTCAATTGGGGCAACTCGCCCAAAAAGTGAGTTCTAGAGAGCAAGGTAAATTCCCTACAACTACGGATGTAAACCCGAGGGAGAGTGTCATGACCATTACCACAAGAAGCGGGAGGCAAACAGAGGATCCCAAGATGCCGGAGAGAAGAAAGACACCGGAGGAACAAGAAGAGGTTTCACATACACCATTGCCACCTATTATGCCTCAATATGTTCCTCCCATCCCCTATCCACAAAAGTTGAATAAGAAAGGAGATGAGAAGAAACACAAGAAAATTCTTGATATTTTCAAGAAATTAAGCATCAACATACCTTTTGCGGAGGCCATTGCGGAGATTCCATCGTACGCAAAATTTCTCAAAGGCATCATCTCCAACAAAAAGAAGTTAGAGGAATTCGCAACCGTGGCACTAACGGAGGAATGTAGTGCCATTATTCAAAACAAACTTCCTCCAAAACTAAAAGACCCTGGAAGCTTCACTATTCCATGCTCTATCGGAAAAGTCGGGGAGGTAAAGTCTCTTTGTGACCTTGGCGCTAGCATAAATCTCATGCCCCACTCCCTATTTAAAAAGCTAAGTGTGGGGGAACTCCAACCAACAACGGTTGCTTTGCAATTAGCGGATAGAACAATCCGCTATTCGATAGGCATCATGGAGGACGTTGTAACACCCCCAAATTTCCCTCCCAAAATAATACATAAAGAAATAGTAAAGTTGATTTATTTATTTAAACATTCAGATGTTTGCAGCGGAATTAAACAACGACAAGGAAAAGGGCGTGTCACCGCCACACCCAGCCCTCATCGGACTGGATGTTAAGGCTATCCACCATAATTGTAACCAAAGTGAAGATTTAAAGTTCAACATTTAAAATAGCGTAAACGAACAAAGATTATTGTAATGAGACTAGCTTCTCTAAAAGTCTTCTAGTAGCGCTCTCAAGACATCAATCTTCATACACCACATCATCTGTAACATAAGAAAAATAAAAGAAACAAATAACACAAAAAATTAGCTTTAGAGCTAATTAAATCCCACCCAACCCCGTAAAATAATAGGTTTGGTGAAAAATAAGAATTTGTACATAATATATACAAAAATGGCTTTTCTTCAAAAGAGTAGTAATAATCCCAATGATTTCCTCAAAATTTCTTATAAGTATTCCAAAGAATAATTCTCAAGTACAAAAGTATTTGCTTTTCCTTAAAATAGCTTTATAGCTATTTTTGAGCCCTAATCATTTAGAAGGGCGGTGCTCAAGCGTTATTTCGATTTTTGAGCCCAGTGATCCGTTGTTCTGCACGGTCACCCCGATCTCTCTCGGTACCTCATCTCCTCTATTAGAATCTAGACTCCTACCTTAAGTGTGCACACCCCCTAAAGGGATTCCAAGCCCTATGGGTAGAATGAAGTCTAAGTAGTTCTGACGTCAACGTCTCCCTACTCAAAATGGAATATACTCCCTAAGTTCTAGGTTCAAAGACCCTTAAGAGAATAGGTACTACTACTGCTTTAATAAAAGGGATCTAATGCCCAGTTGTTCGGGGTGGTTACCGAACCCTCCAAAATTCATTTAATTTGTCTCAAGACTCTCAATTCAAGTAGTAGTAGTCCTAACCCTCCTTCACCATTAACGGACGTGAAGATGGCCCGACACCTACGGATTTCTCCCGCGGTGCCCCAATTATGAAAACAGACTTTTATCTTGTCTTTCCAAAAATTCCATATTTATGTCTTTTGGACAGAGTTTCACCACAAGGATTATTATCCTTAAATTCTTAACTTTATATGTTCTCAAAATATCCCACATATACATGTAATTCAATATATCTCAAAATCACAACAATTACAACTTGCTCACAAATAAAATATTCATACCACCATATAATCACACATATCAAATAAATAATTACTTACGAGGTAAAAATATAATTTTGGTTGCAATGTGACTTACCTCGGAATGTGACGCTTCTAGTTCTTCTCGTCTATTCCGGTCTCTAAATAATCACCTTTTTAATTAAGATGATAATTAGTCGTTTATTCCATTTTTAATAATGTATTCAATTCCCCCACCTATATATACGTATTTACTAACTCAATAGTTAATTTAATTATTAATTAATCACTTTTATTAATCATATCTCTTTATTTCGTAATCTAAATTCTTACCTTATTTATTTACTAATTTCAACTAGCATATTATTATTACTATTATATTTATGGTTAAACAGTACTTTAAATTTATTATTTTTCATTACGTAATTAACCCAACTAAAAAGTGACAAATTTTACTACAATTAAAAATATTAATTTATCCATTATGAGCATGCGATTTAGTAAATATACGTAATTAGTCTATCTGCATACTATAACTATCCGTATTATCATTGATTATTTTATTATTGATAAATCTCATTTTTATTAACTTTATCATTCTCATGATTATCTATAATTCATCCTAGTTAATTTCCAAATCAACCTTAGAAAACAACAGCCCAATCTATTCTAAAAGTAAAACTATCGAGTCTCGTCTTTATAAAAGTGCAGCCCAACTCTTAATTTAAACAGCCCAACTAACAATTAATAAAGCTAGCCCAATTTTAAAAATAAAGACTAAAACAGAAGAAAAGAAAATAGCGTACTGTGCTTCTTCTTCAACAACTAAGATAGCGAACGAAGCAGGTGCAGTGTAGCGGCGGTGTCCTCGGTGGCCTCTTCTTCCGGCGTCAGTCAACAGCGGCGATGACCCCTCCTTCTACAGCAACTCAGGACGTGAGAATAGGCAGTACAATGTTGCTCCTACCTTCGGTGTGAATAAGAACAGTCCGGCAAACCCCGGCAAACTTTTCCTCCCTCCGGTGACTCTCTTTCCTCTCAACAACAAGGTATTCGTTCTCCCTTACTCTCAGAGACTACATTTGAGATGTTTTTAGCTTTCATTTGGGGTGTATATATTTGCCGCAGCCCGCACCGTAGACACATAAATATATAGATATATTGTTATATGTATGTATATGAGGGTATAAACACATACGCAGGAGTGAAGGTTGTGTGCAGAATCGCTTGCTAAACACCCGAATTTATAGTTCTCAGCCGGAGCTGTACTGTTATGTAATAGTTCAGCCGTATGGGTTTATGGCCGCCGTTGTACTGTTGCGTAATAATACACTGGTATGAACTAATTTAATAGCCGCCAGTGTACTGCTGCGAAATAGTTTCTTTCTTTGTTAACTTCCCATTCTTCATACGTGTCTGATTAAACTACTATTCGGCCGCTGTACATACTATTATTACTCCGTATTATCATTTGCTGCTACATATGGAGTCTTATTGTTACATAGTACTCCGTATTTGTTTTGTAGTTAGGATTAGTATTATTTGCTACTCCGTTTATTTATGTTAGGCTTATTTATTAGTATTAGTATATATATTTTGTACTTTATTAGTTTTATGCCTATCCAACATTAAATTGTGTGTGTATATATATATATATATATATATATATATATCAATCTCAATTGTAATACGGTAGTAGTATATTTTTGTTAATTTATATTGTAGCTTTAATTCTCAAATTGTTATTTCCTAATAAAAGTTGTCACTTTATTATGTTGTGTAAAAATGTCACAGTTGATACTTAAACCAAACTTTTTATTTGTTTCACTTAATTATTGATAGTGTCACTTTTGTAACATTTTATCTGATAAAATTGAGTTATTTTATATATAGAAAAAAAAATTGGAGTGTCACATTCTACCCTTCTTAAAAGATACTTCGTCCCGAACTATAAACTAAAAAAAAAAATCCATAATTAAAATTAATAGGTGTTACATTCTACCTCTCTTAAAATGAGGTTACGTCCTCGTAACTAAAACATTACCTTAACCAAACATTTCTGGATAGCGATTTCGCATATCATCTTCGGACTCCCAAGTAGCGTTTTCAGCCAAGTGGTTAGACCACAACACTTTTACCATTTTAACTACTTTTCTCCTGGTTTCACGAGTTTTGGTGTCAAGAATCTGAATAGGCCTCTCCTCGTAAGTCAAGGTTTCGTCCAACTCGACCACCTAATAGAGTCGAAGTTAGACGTGTCGAATTAAATTTCAAATATCTTAAGGTCACTATTCGTACCTCAGGGTTAAGGACATGCGATTCGTCGCAGACATACTTTTTCAATTGTGAAATATGGAAAACGTTGTGTACCTAAGTACATCACATGTTAGTGTTTGTCAAGTATTTACTATGGTATTTCTCAATCGAGAGGTTTTAAGGTATGTCTTACCTTAGCCAAATGTGTGGGTAGAGCTAAGCGGTATGCCACTCGTCCCACTCGCTCGAGGATATCATATGGGCCAATGAACCTTGGGCTCAACTTTCCCTTCTTTCCGAATCTCATTACTCCCTTCGTCGGGGAGACTTTGAGTAGAACTTTCTCTCCTACTTCGAATTCAGCTGGTTTTCTTCCTAGGTCTGCATAAGACTTCTGACGATCTTGTGCAGCTTTCATCCTGGCTTGAATCAGCTGGATCTTTTCTATGGTGTCTTGTAAGTACTCTGGCCCTAACACTACCTGGTCTGTCATATCATTCCAGCATAGTGGACTTCTACACTTTTGACCGTATAGAGCCTCGTACGGGGCCATTTTGATACTGGCGTGGTAGCTATTATTGTACGAAAACTCTATCAAGTCTAAGTGTTCGTCCCATGCCCCTTGTAGGTCTAGCACACATGCCCTTAACATGTCCTCCAATGTTTGGATCGTTCTTTCTGTTTGACCATCAGTTGTTGGATGAAACGCAGTACTCAGCTTTAGTTTTGTCCCCATGGCAGCCTGTAATTCCTTCCAGAATTGAGATAGGAATCTAGAGTCTCGGTCAGATACGATGTCTTGTGGAACTCCATGGTACTTGACCACGTTTTTTATGTAGGCTCTTGCTAGCTTATCCATACTCCAAGTTTCGTTCATGGGAATGAATCTCGTAGTTTTGGTCAGTCTATCAACTATTACCCAGATCTTATCTTTCCCAGACTTTGTTAAAGGCAAACCCCCAACAAAGTCCATCGAGATTGAGTCCCACTTCCATATTGGTATCTCCAAAGGTTGTACGAGTCCTTTGGGTTTGCATCTCTCAGCTTTGACCTTCTGACAGTTCAAACATCGTGCTACGAACTCGGCCACTTCTTTCTTCATCTTTGGCCACCAGAAAATTTTCTTTAAGTCTTTGTATAGTTTATCACCTCCGGGATGTACCGAATAGGGTGTATTGTGTCCTTCTTCCATGATTTGCTTTTTGATGTGTTCGCACTTCATGGGAACACACCACCGTTCTTTGTATCGGATACTCCCGTCTCCATGCAACTGAAATGGACCGTTCACTCCATCTTTCATCCCGGCTTTGACTCGTTCCAGCTTTACATCTCCTGGTTGTCCAGCTTTGATTTCTTCGAAGATAGAGGGTAAGATGGTCATAGTGTACAACTGGACCTCGTTCTCTACTTCACCGTATTCTTTCACTTCTATGTTTAGCCTTTGGAGTTCCCGACACAACTCGTCTGCTAGTATCCACGTTGCTCGGCTCGTATGTTCAGATTTCCGGCTTAATGCATCGGCTACGACGTTAGCCTTCCCTTCATGGTATAGGATTTCAAGATCATAGTCTTTGACAAGCTCTAACCACCTTCTTTGCCTCATATTAAGCTCTTTTTGTGTGAAGATGTACTTAAGACTTTTGTGATCAGTATATACCTTGCACGGCGGCCCATACAGATAATGCCTCCATATCTTTAACGCAAACACTACTGCAGCTAACTCCAGGTCATGGGTTGGATAGTTAACTTCGTGCAGCCTTAGTTGTCGGGATGCATAAGCTACTACCTTCCCATTCTGCATTAGTACGCAGCCCAGACCATTCTTGGATGCATCACAATATATTTCAAATCCTTCAGTTCCTGATGGAAGTGTTAGTACTGGTGCAGTTGTCAGTCTCCTCTTCAACTCCTGGAAAGCTTTTTCACAATCTTCCGTCCACTGGAACTTTGTGGTCTTCTTCGTCAAATTGGTCAATGGTCTAGCTATCTTGGAGAAGTCTTTGACAAATCTCCTATAGTATCCTGCCAACCCAAGGAAACTTCGTACTTCCATGACAGTGGTAGGTGCCCGCCACTCGGTTACTGCTTCAATTTTTGACGGGTCTACAGTCACTCCATCTCGAGTGATAATGTGACCCAAAAATGCTACTCGGTCCTTCCAAAAGTCACACTTGGAAAGTTTGGCGTAGAGTTGATGCTCCCTCAAAGTCTGCAAAACAAGTCTCAGATGCTTATCATGATCCTGCTGATTCTTCGAGTACACCAAGATATCATCTATGAATACCACCACAAATGTATCAAGATAGGGGCGAAATATACGGTTCATTAGGTCCATGAATACCGCTGGTGCATTGGTCAAGCCAAATGGCATCACGGTGAACTCATAGTGCCCATACCTCGTACGAAATGCAGTCTTCGGTATATCCTTCTCCGCTATCCTCACTTGGTGGTAGCCAGACCGAAGGTCAATCTTGGAAAATATGCCTGCCCCCTTCAGTTGATCGAACAGGTCGTCGATACGGGGTAAAGGGTATCGGTTCTTGATAGTAACACGGTTCAGCTCTCGGTAGTCAATACATAACCTCAAGCTACCGTCTTTCTTCTTCACAAACAAGACCGGAGCGCCCCAAGGTGAAATGCTCGGCTTGATGTATCCCTTCTCGAGCAGTTCTTCAAGTTGTTCTTTCAGTTCTTGCATCTCCTTCGGAGCCATCCTGTACGGTGCCTTGGAAATTGGTGTAGTCCCCGGCATTAAGTCAATGGAAAACTCAACCTCCCTTTCGGGAGGCATCCCCGGAATCTCTTCCGGAAACACATCAGAAAATTCATTGACCACCGGAATCTGATCAATTGTCTGCTCGTCTTCATGGTTGTCTCTCATCATGCATAGGTACGCCTCGCATCCCTTCCGGATGTACCTCCTCATCTTCCGCATTGTCATCAACTTGACTCCGGGTTTGTCCACCGTTGCTTTGAAAGATACCCGCTTCCCACATGGGCTCTTCATGGAAACCTTCTGCTCATTGCATAAGATCTTCGCCTTGTATCTCCCAAGCCAATCCATGCCCAGCACCACGTCAATGCCTTCGAGGTCGAATTGCACCAAATTCCCAGGTAGGCTGACGTCGGCTATAACTATGGGTACATCCATGTATACATTTCTACAGGCTACAACACTATTGTTTGCTGTTTTTACATTCAACTCTATGCTAGCTGCAGGTTCTATCTTTAACTTCTCAACAAATTTAGAAGAGATAAAACTGTGAGAAGCACCTGAATCAAATAGAACATAAGCAGGAGTGGTATTAACATGAATGATACCTGAAACCACATCATGTGCTTGGGCTTGAGCCTGATTCATTACATAAATTCGGCCCTGATTTGGAGCGTTATTGTTGTTGTTGCCCCTTCCCTGGTTCTGATTTTGGCCTCGGTTACCATTTCCTGCTTGATTTCCCGGGTTGTTGTTGCCCCGATTCTCAGCTCCTGAACTGTTTCCGCCTCCTTGATTCCCACCTCCACGGTTAGGTCCCTGGTTCTGTGGATTCCTTCCTACATTATCCCAGCATTCAAAAGCCCGATGGCCCATTTTCCCACATGTGAAGCATTTCACTCTGTTGCCAACACAGTCCACCCCTGGGTGGTCTTTCTTGCATTTCGTGCAGTTGAAATGCCTCTCCACCATGTTTCGTCGGTCACGTCTCTGGTCATGACCTTGGAACCTTCTTTCATCCCTCGGGCGATGGTGTGTCGGTTCTGCATGATGATGAACCCTGACCCTCTTTTCTCCTTGCCTATTCTCCTCTTCGTGCTTTCTTTTCTTGTGGACTTCTCGCTGAAGTTGTATTACTCGATAGTGCTTTGCAGCTTTGTAATAGACATCATCTAATGTTTGCCATTCTTGCACAGTCACGATCTTCTGTGTGTCGAAATTTAGTCCTCCGATGAACTTTTCGATTTTGCTCTCCTCATCGGGTACAAGTGATGTTGCAAACTCTGAAAGCGTGACAAATTGACTGTGATACTCTTGCACTGTCATTTCGCCCTGCTTCAAATGTAGGAACTTGTCATAATTTTCTGCTTGCACGTGTGGCGGGTAAAACCTTTTTCGCAGTGCACGCTTAAACCGTTCCCAAGTGAAGTCCGGTTGTGCGCTCAACCCTGCTCCCACATGAGCCCACCATTTATCTGCTTCTCCATGCAGATAATAAACGGCAATGTTAATTCGTTGTTCTGCCGGGCAATTGATCACATCAAATAGCTTGTCGAAGGTGCGTATCCAATTCTCAAGAAGGACTGGATCCTCTTGCCCAAGGAAGTTTGGCGGGTTTCGTGCCGCTACACGACTTTCCATGTTATTGCCGTTGTTGGGTTGGTTCTGAAACGCCGCATTGATTGTCTGAGTGAGCTGCGTGAGAGCTTGCGCCAGCTCAGCATTGGTAGGGACGGCATTCGGATCTCTCCTCGGTGGCATGGTGTCTCCATATGGATAATAACTCGAATTAGTAAAGAAAACTTTCCCTACTCTCCTTAAGGATCCTAGAACTAAGGATTCCATAGGCAACAAAGTCATTATACAAATATTTCACCACATAGGTGCAAAACTTCATTATGTCATATTCACACATAGGATTCACATTTCATATTTCAACATTTTTGCACATAACGTACATACCTTGACCACCTTGGAATTTTTCCTTATGAGGCATTCCCTTCAACACTTGGAGATTCCATTTCACATATGGGTCCATAATTCTCAACTTTTCACATAATATATAGCATAAAACTAATACTCACAAGGTCCTCACCACGTTCCTAAAAGGTCATTTTCTAATTTCCTAATTTTTTTTTTTTTTTGGAAAACATTTTGAAAATCTCCACGCACAAAGGTCTCTGATACCAACTTGTAACACCCCCAAATTTCCCTCCCAAAATAATACATAAAGAAATAGTAAAGTTGATTTATTTATTTAAACATTCAGATGTTTGCAGCGGAATTAAACAACGACAAGGAAAAGGGCGTGTCACCGCCACACCCAGCCCTCATCGGACTGGATGTTAAGGCTATCCACCATAATTGTAACCAAAGTGAAGATTTAAAGTTCAACATTTAAAATAGCGTAAACGAACAAAGATTATTGTAATGAGACTAGCTTCTCTAAAAGTCTTCTAGTAGCGCTCTCAAGACATCAATCTTCATACACCACATCATCTGTAACATAAGAAAAATAAAAGAAACAAATAACACAAAAAATTAGCTTTAGAGCTAAGTAAATCCCACCCAACCCCGTAAAATAATAGGTTTGGTGAAAAATAAGAATTTGTACATAATATATACAAAAATGGCTTTTCTTCAAAAGAGTAGTAATAATCCCAATGATTTCCTCAAAATTTCTTATAAGTATTCCAAAGAATAATTCTCAAGTACAAAAGTATTTGCTTTTCCTTAAAATAGCTTTATAGCTATTTTTGAGCCCTAATCATTTAGAAGGGCGGTGCTCAAGCGTTATTTCGATTTTTGAGCCCAGTGATCCGTTGTTCTGCACGGTCACCCCGATCTCTCTCGGTACCTCATCTCCTCTATTAGAATCTAGACTCCTACCTTAAGTGTGCACACCCCCTAAAGGGATTCCAAGCCCTATGGGTAGAATGAAGTCTAAGTAGTTCTGACGTCAACGTCTCCCTACTCAAAATGGAATATACTCCCTAAGTTCTAGGTTCAAAGACCCTTAAGAGAATAGGTACTACTACTGCTTTAATAAAAGGGATCTAATGCCCAGTTGTTCGGGGTGGTTACCGAACCCTCCAAAATTCATTTAATTTGTCTCAAGACTCTCAATTCAAGTAGTAGTAGTCCTAACCCTCCTTCACCATTAACGGACGTGAAGATGGCCCGACACCTACGGATTTCTCCCGCGGTGCCCCAATTATGAAAACAGACTTTTATCTTGTCTTTCCAAAAATTCCATATTTATGTCTTTTGGACAGAGTTTCACCACAAGGATTATTATCCTTAAATTCTTAACTTTATATGTTCTCAAAATATCCCACATATACATGTAATTCAATATATCTCAAAATCACAACAATTACAACTTGCTCACAAATAAAATATTCATACCACCATATAATCACACATATCAAATAAATAATTACTTACGAGGTAAAAATATAATTTTGGTTGCAATGTGACTTACCTCGGAATGTGACGCTTCTAGTTCTTCTCGTCTATTCCGGTCTCTAAATAATCACCTTTTTAATTAAGATGATAATTAGTCGTTTATTCCATTTTTAATAATGTATTCAATTCCCCCACCTATATATACGTATTTACTAACTCAATAGTTAATTTAATTATTAATTAATCACTTTTATTAATCATATCTCTTTATTTCGTAATCTAAATTCTTACCTTATTTATTTACTAATTTCAACTAGCATATTATTATTACTATTATATTTATGGTTAAACAGTACTTTAAATTTATTATTTTTCATTACGTAATTAACCCAACTAAAAAGTGACAAATTTTACTACAATTAAAAATATTAATTTATCCATTATGAGCATGCGATTTAGTAAATATACGTAATTAGTCTATCTGCATACTATAACTATCCGTATTATCATTGATTATTTTATTATTGATAAATCTCATTTTTATTAACTTTATCATTCTCATGATTATCTATAATTCATCCTAGTTAATTTCCAAATCAACCTTAGAAAACAACAGCCCAATCTATTCTAAAAGTAAAACTATCGAGTCTCGTCTTTATAAAAGTGCAGCCCAACTCTTAATTTAAACAGCCCAACTAACAATTAATAAAGCTAGCCCAATTTTAAAAATAAAGACTAAAACAGAAGAAAAGAAAATAGCGTACTGTGCTTCTTCTTCAACAACTAAGATAGCGAACGAAGCAGGTGCAGTGTAGCGGCGGTGTCCTCGGTGGCCTCTTCTTCCGGCGTCAGTCAACAGCGGCGATGACCCCTCCTTCTACAGCAACTCAGGACGTGAGAATAGGCAGTACAATGTTGCTCCTACCTTCGGTGTGAATAAGAACAGTCCGGCAAACCCCGGCAAACTTTTCCTCCCTCCGGTGACTCTCTTTCCTCTCAACAACAAGGTATTCGTTCTCCCTTACTCTCAGAGACTACATTTGAGATGTTTTTAGCTTTCATTTGGGGTGTATATATTTGCCGCAGCCCGCACCGTAGACACATAAATATATAGATATATTGTTATATGTATGTATATGAGGGTATAAACACATACGCAGGAGTGAAGGTTGTGTGCAGAATCGCTTGCTAAACACCCGAATTTATAGTTCTCAGCCGGAGCTGTACTGTTATGTAATAGTTCAGCCGTATGGGTTTATGGCCGCCGTTGTACTGTTGCGTAATAATACACTGGTATGAACTAATTTAATAGCCGCCAGTGTACTGCTGCGAAATAGTTTCTTTCTTTGTTAACTTCCCATTCTTCATACGTGTCTGATTAAACTACTATTCGGCCGCTGTACATACTATTATTACTCCGTATTATCATTTGCTGCTACATATGGAGTCTTATTGTTACATAGTACTCCGTATTTGTTTTGTAGTTAGGATTAGTATTATTTGCTACTCCGTTTATTTATGTTAGGCTTATTTATTAGTATTAGTATATATATTTTGTACTTTATTAGTTTTATGCCTATCCAACATTAAATTGTGTGTGTATATATATATATATATATATATATATCAATCTCAATTGTAATACGGTAGTAGTATATTTTTGTTAATTTATATTGTAGCTTTAATTCTCAAATTGTTATTTCCTAATAAAAGTTGTCACTTTATTATGTTGTGTAAAAATGTCACAGTTGATACTTAAACCAAACTTTTTATTTGTTTCACTTAATTATTGATAGTGTCACTTTTGTAACATTTTATCTGATAAAATTGAGTTATTTTATATATAGAAAAAAAAATTGGAGTGTCACAGACGTCCTTGTCAAAGTAGGAAAATTCTACTTTCCGGTAGATTTTCTTGTTTTAGACATGGAAGAGATGGAGGTTCCCGTCATCCTTGGGAGATCATTTTTGGCCACTTCCGCAGCCGTCATTGATGTGCAAGCAGACACCGTAAAGCTAAGAGTGGGAGGAGACGATGAAACATTCAATGTATGGAAAACACAATCCATACCAACTCAAAACATGGAGGTCAACACAAATCCTTCCATCCCTCCAACACACCACGGGAATGAAAAGAATGTGCGGACAACTCCATGGCCTCCCCACGATCTCAAAAAGGTAACATTGGTCAAACGTCTTCAGGAGCCCAATCACACGTGAGAGGTACGTTGTGTCCGGCCTATGACGTTAAACTAAGCGCTAATTGGGAGGCAACCCAACAAATTCAATTATAAATAAATATGTTTAGTTAAATACATATTCATGTTTATTTATAATTGAAACCCAAAAAAAAAAAAAAAAAAAAAACAAAAACAAAAAAAAGCAAAAAAAAAAACCGGCGCCGGTTATGGTGTTTTTCACTATTATTCCATCCCCGAAGTAAAACCGGCGCCGGTCAAGCCTAAAACCGGCGCCGGTTAAGCCCGAATCTGCATAAAACACAAAGACGTGCAACCATATTTTGATGGGAAAACTCCACTTTCCTTATGATCTGATCAAATATATCTTCCATGCCTGATTGTTGGGCTTGAATAGACTAAAAGATGCCAATCTTTAGCCTATATAAAGCCCCCAATTCATCAAACAAGATAATCATTCCATTCTTGAAGATTAAATTTCAGTTTTTATATTTCCTTTTTGCATTTTCTTGAAGTGTTGGAGAAGAAGCCATTTCTCTCCTCTACAATTGGTTCTAGGTATTATCTCTTGTATGTTATTGTATTTCATTGTTCTTAGTTACACTTTTGTAATTAATATGAGCTTAAGGAGCTAAGTTCTTAGCTAAGGCTAGGGATGAACTTCTATGCCCACTAGGTGTTTGATAAAAGTTCTAAACCAATAAATTGTGATTTATCCTTTACATTTTGATTGTTTATGACTATGGTGTACAACATAGAAGTATGTTAAACTTAGTTTATGCTTGCAATTAACGTTGAGGTCTAAACTATGAACATTAAAGGATAAACATATATATTACCGAGAATAGAAATATATCCGGTATTATATGATACGGGTGTGATGTCTTGATATTCAATGGGGTTTTCGGTAGATGAATGTAAGCCGTAACGGGACTTACACGTAACGAAAACCACGCTCTCGCTGCCTTAACCGGAGTTGAGAATATATTAGCGACATCGTATTCATAACTGTTGGTAAAGAACTAATATTCAACCCTATTAAAGCATTTAAGTGATTCCCGAAGCCTTAGTTGTTGTTATCAATCACTTTAATCAAATTAATTTAAGTTATATCTCTGAAAATTAAAAAGAAGAACCAAGTTGTTGTTTTCACAACAACACACAACTCAAAATCCCTGTACTTTACTCATTTATTTATTTAAAGTCGTCTACTTTCGGACTTGAATTAAACAACGTTTCCCTGTGGACTCGACCCGGTATTTTACCGGAATTTATTACTATATCGGCACTTGTACACTTGCAAGTTCAGCCCGGTCAAATACTCCACACTTTGTCGATCTCCTTAATTACCTACTAGCTGGATATCATCTAATTACTCCGTATATGAATTCAAATACACTTAAATATGGAGTATAAGTTAATTAAGAATAGATATAAGCAAAATATATGGACACACGTCACTCATCTGTAGTTTATATGTTTATTTATATTTAAAGATGACACACACATGTAGACAGTGGCGGAGCCAGAAAAACAGGTCAGGGGGGTCGAAAATCAAGTATGTACAAAATGAAAATGGTAGATCATTTCTAGACAATGTCCGAGTTGAATATTTCATTTGAAGTTTAGAGAAAAAAGCATTCGTAAGCAATAAAATAGATTGTTTTTGCTCTGTTTCTGAATCATGTCACCTAAGTAACGAGTTAATTATAGGTTATTTATAAAATTTGGGAAAATAATCAATTTTATGCTTCAAATTTTGCTGATTTTACGTTTAGATAGTGCTGATTTTCCAGAAGTCATAACTTTTTACTCGTAATGAGTTACGAGGGTCATAATATATCAAATCGAAGATATTTCAGAGCTCTATACTCTCAAACTTTCAGCGGGGTCGGCTGACCACCCTGATCCCCTTGGCTCCGCCCCTGCATGTAGAGATAAAGTATAGTATATGCATAAAGTAAACGCGAACATGCCATTTTCCACTTTCTTGTATTAAATTATTAATGTAAATTGTGGTAAAGCAAAACAGCAAAAGAGAACTAAAATGAGATAGATATTATCTAATTACTCCGTATATGAATTCAAATACACTTAAATATGGAGTATAAGTTAATTACGAATAGATATAAGCAAAATATATGAACACACGTCACTCATGTTGAAATGTAAGGACAAGAGCATTTAACCAGTGGTCTCGGTATTACATGTTGAAATGTTTTTTTTTTTTTTTTTTTTTTTTTTTTTTTTTTTTATCCCGGAAGGCAAACCACCAAAATCAGTGGGGCAAATGCCGGGAGTCAGATGCCGTTATTTTATTGAAAAGTAAAGTAATACAAAAGAGAGGGGGACCAAACCAATACCTCTCTACAGAGGCATTCCCCTGAGAAAAATAGAAGACAAAGATCAAACAGACCCCAACCCTAAGTCGCCTGAGAGCCTCCAACGCAACAACTGAATCCATCTCCACTCAAAGAAAAAATCAATAACGCAAATGTGGAAAGTCAAAAAGATCTGCATAGTAGTTCCTCTTAACCTCCCTAGGCAGTAGTCCAACCTGATCAAATAAAACAATTTGGGCCGAAGAGTATCTTAGGCCAGCAAGAGAATGGGCCGTGGCATTCCCTTCTCTAAAAACATGACCAAAAGAGTAACCCAACCCATAAGCCTTCCTTTTGAAATGTTATATGTTAATATGTTATGATGATATCATATCATCGTATATTCATATTACGTATTTGTAAAAGTTAAACTAAATTTAAAAAGACTTTTTTGCCTTGAATAGGACTAAATTGTTCATTAAATTCCAAAATGGGACTATGTATAATTTTATTACCCAAATAGGATTGAGTTACCCATTTACCCTTAATTACTTCCCTAAATCCCTGCTGCGCATTTCCATCCATCCTCACCCCTACGCAAATCATTGACCATCCCCTCCCCTGCGCAACATTTTTCCTCCCTGCGCACGTCTCCCTCACCTGCTCATCTTTTCTCTCCTCTTCGTAGAACAACCAACCTAGAAGACCAGTCGCGAAGTCAACCTCCATCCTCACCTGCATCGCCGCCTCGTCGCGAAGTCCATTGCTGTCGCCGTCACGAAGTCCACCGCTGTCGCCGTCGCCGTCGTGAAATCCACCGCCATCACTGTCACAGATGGTATTCTTCTTCCCCATGATCAGTTTCTTCTTTGATTGTTACAAAATGCCAAGTAAAACTCTGAAATGCCATAAAAATGGCAGTCTTTGTCTTCAATTTTTTTTTGTTTTTCCTTAGAAAATGCCATTAGTATGGCAGTTTCAAAAAAATCTTGGCATTCACGCCGGAAACGGCCAGATCTGCAACTGAAGAAGTCAAATTTGTTGCAGAGATGCTGGATAAGGTGCGATGGTGGTTAGATCTGCAGGGGCAGCCGCCGACGGCTGATGGATACTAGAGCTGGCCAGATCTCCGGCGAACCTCGACAGGTCTGCATCGGCGGCGGCCAGATCTGCAACGGCGTCCAGTTTTTGAGGCGACAACGATGTCCGGCGACCGGCGGCGACCGGCGGTGACTGGCAGAAATCGGCGATTCGCGGTGGTCCAGTGATCTGGTCGGCGGCATATGACTTCTAAGCATCAAGGCCATTTTTGTCCAGTTACAAATTATAACTCCTATTTAGGAACTTTTTAGATTTTAGTCTTATTTTGACAATTAAAGACTAATTTACTCCTATTTAGGTAAATACCTCATTAAAAATGGGTAAAGTGATAGTTTCTTGAGTCAACAACGTGACCAAGTATATATTACTCCGTAATAAATAAACAAATTAAAATAAATTGAAGTTCTATTTGACTAGAAGTCATGGATCGTAAAGTTCATATAAATT